GCCGTCGTCGCCTTCGACATCATCATCATCATAGTCACCATCATCATCAGCGACAACGTCATCATCAAAATATTAATCAGCAGCTGCAGCATCATCATCATCATCACAACAACCGCAGTCATCATTCTCATCATCAGCATCATCTCATCATCGTCGTCATCGTCATCAGCGTCATCATAGTCACAATCATCATCATAACTATCATCACCATCATCACAATCATCATCACCATCACCATCACCAGCAGCATCATCAGCATTGTCGACATCATCACCACCATCATCATCACCATTATCGACCATCGAGATTAATCGTCGTCATCCCCATCATCAACATCATCGATCATCGATCATCATCGTCGTCATCCCCATCACCAACAGCATCATCATCATCATCACAAGCAGTATCGTCATCATCAGCATCATCATCGTTATCAGCATCACCATAATCACCATCATCAGCATCATCGGCATCATTATCATCAGTCGCACCATCATCATCACCCACAACCGCAACCAAATGATCATCATCATCGGCATCAGCATCATCATCATCATCAGTATCATCATCATCATCAGCAGCAGCATCATCATCATCATCATCATCATCATCAGCATCATCATCATCATCATCATCATCATCATCATCATCACCAGCATCATCATCATCATCATCAGCATCAGCATGATCAGCAGCAGCATCATCCCTATCACTGAACTTCCAAGCCTGGAGACACATGGTGTAACACATGACAGCCTCCCGTGCCCCCTCGAACAGCCGCCACCGAAAACTGCTTGGCCAGCACGGTGGCGGGACTTGCCGCAGGCAGCGGGATATCCGCCGCCCCCTGTTGATTCATCACAGGGGTGCCTGGCGTGCTAGATCCTCTCGGTTTTGGTTTTGGTTCGTTTCCAAAACTCCCCCTGGGGCTCCGGCGCGCCCCGCCGGCCACCCGGAAAAGACCCAATCCAGAAAAAAATCCTCCAAGATGGCTCAAGATGGCGTCAAGATGGCCACGTTGGCCCAAGATGGCCTCCAAGATGGTCGGAGATGGCCTCCAAGTTCGCCCAAGATGGTCCAAGACGGCCTCCAAGACGGCCCAAGGCAGTCCAAGACGGCCCAAGACGGCCCAAGAGGCCCCCCAGAGGCCTCCAAGACGGCCCAAGAGGCCTCCAAGAGGTCCTCCAGGAGGGCCCGAAGAGGCCAAAATCATTCATAATCCTGTGGTTTTTGAAGGATTTGGGCATTTGCTTCTTCTCGGCATTCCGACGGCTCAAGACGCCCGAAGATCGCCCACGAGGCCTCCAAAATGGCCCCATGACGGCCGAAGAGGCCCCCAAGACGGCCCCAAAGAGGGCCCCAAGACGGGCCAAGAGGCCTCCAAGACGCCCAAGATGGCCTCCAAGACGGCCCCGAAGCGCCCCAAGAGGGCCCCAAGCCGTTTCAGAGAGGCCCCCAAGACGGCTCCCGAGGGCGTCAGACGGGCCAGGAACGCCCTAAGACGGCCAAAGAGGCCCCCGAGAAGTCCCAAAAAGGCCCCAAGAGGCCCTCGAGAGGCTCCAACATGGCCTCCAAGACGGTCCCAAGATGGCCCAATCGAGCCCAAGAGTGCCTCAAGGGGCTCCGAAGAGGCATCCTCCCCCTTCTCCTTTTTCCTCTTTCTCATCCTCTTCCTCTTCCTCCCCCACCCACGTGTTCCCCAAAGGCTTTCCAAACCGACTCGGGAAACACATGGTCCGATAGCGTTGCCCCCAAGATGCCTCCAAGACGGCCCAAGATGCCTCCGAGACGGCCTAACATGGTGTCAACATTGCCCAAGACGGCCCAAGAGGCCCCCAAGAGGCCTGAAATGAGAAGCTCCCAGGCGGCTCCAAGAGTGCCCCCAGAGGCTCCCAAGATGTCCCCTCTTCCTCCTTCTTCTCCTCCTCCTCCTCCTTCTCCTCCACCTCCTCCTCCTCCTCCACCTCCTCCTCCGCCTTCTGATCTTCCCCGCCATCCTCCACCACGTGTTCCCCGAAGGCTTTCCACAACGGCTGGGGGAACACATGGTCTGATAGCTTGGAAGAGCTCTTGCCACAACGCTCGGCCACATGGGCAATTCTAGAAGACGGCGGGCGGCGGTGATTCGCCGTAGGCGTTTTCGATCCGCAACCGTGCCTCTGGGCAGGGAGTGGGCGTGTCCTCAGGTCCTGAGCCTAACCCTCCAAGTCTCAACCCTTAACCGCATGCCGGTGATAATAAGGGTCCCCCCCCCCCCCTTAACACGCTAGAGTTGATTATCCACGGCCAAGAAGAGTTTGGTCAGGGGCGCGGGGCGCGGAGGCCGAACTGTCCTATCACTGTGAAAGGTCCACCATCGAGGCTAACTTCCTTCTTATGTTGCGATAGCAACATCCAGCGAAGCGAACTTTGAGGGGCCCGCACCCCTGGCTCTCAAATCTTCCAGGGGTTCCCGCGCGCCCCTCTTGGGCTTGTCGCGTGCCCCCTGGGCTCCAGGAAGCGTTGTCGCACCACTTGCTCGGGCCCAAGAGACCCCCAGACAGGCCAAGAGGGCCCCAAGAGGCCCCCCAAGACGGTCCAAGAGGGCACCGAGTCGCCGAACGATTGCTCCAAGACTGCGAAGATGGCCCAGGAGGCCTCCAAGACGCCCAAGGAGGCCTCCAAGAGGCCTCCCAAGAGGGCCCCAAGAGGCCAAAATCATTGCATTCCCGTCAGTTTTTTGCGGATTGGGGCGTTCTCGCCTCTTCGGCTTCCCGACGCTCCCAGACGGCCCTAGAGGCCCCCAAGACTCGTGGAAAATCGGCCCATCACTCCTTCCCCTCTCCCCCTCTCGCCCGACCCCAGCAGGGAAGCTTCCCTTTCCCTGTCACCTCCTCCTCCTCCTCCTCCTCCTTCTCCTCCTCCTCCTCCTCCTCCTCCTCCTCCTCCTCCTCCTCCTCCTCCTCCTCCTCCTCCTCCTCCTCCCCCTCCTTTTCCTCCTCCTTTTTTTTTCTCCCCCTTTCCCTGTTCCACCCGTTCCCTGCTCTGCCTCTCGCCCGACCCGAGGGGGGAAGCGACCCTCTTCCTCGTTCCCCCTTCCTGGCAGGAACGAGGCGGGTTCCCGAGGGGAACGGATCCTGACCCCTGGGGCCCTCCCCCAGGTCTGAAAGCCCTCGGGACCGCGGCGGGCCCAGGGCATCCGACTACAATGCTAGAAAGAAACACCTCGGGGGCCATTCCCCTCAGGACCTGCGCCCTTCATGGCGACCTCCAGCGCGGCGCAGCCTTGGCGGGCACGGGTTCCCCCCGCGCGGGGGCGTCCTGATCTTGGAGAGAGCGCGTGTCACGGGTGCTTGCTTTGGGAACATTCGGCGGCGCGTTTCGAGCCGGGGGGGGCCCCCCCCGACACTCGGCGCCGTCGATCAAAATCAAATCAGGGGGACTCCCCTCCCCTCCAAAAACCCCCCCCCCTCCCGAAACCTTCCCCCCCCCCCCTCGGCGCCGGCGCTGGCGCCGGCGCTGGCGGCCGCCAGCAGCGCCGACGGCGGGGACGCAGCGACGATGACCAGAGGCAGCCCAGGGGGGGGGAAGGGGTTCTGGCGCCGGCGCCAGCGCCAGCGCTGGCGGCGGCCAGCAGCGCCGGCGCTGGCGCCGGCGACGGCGGGGCCGCAGCGGCGATTACCCTCACTACCACCACCACCACCACAACCACCACCACCACCTCAACCCCCACCACAACCACCACCACCACAAACCACCACCACAAACCACCACCACACCACCACAACCACCACAACCACCACCACCACAACTCACCATCACCACAGCCACCACCACGAAAACCCAACACCACTACCACCACCACCACCACAATCTACCACACCACCACCACCACCACCGCCACAACCACCGCCACTACCAGCAGCACAACCCACCACCACCACCACAAACCACCACACCACCACCACCACCACCGCCACCACCACCACCACCACCACCACCCACCACCTCCACAAACCACCGCCACCACCACAACCCACCACCACCACCACCACAAACCACCACCACACCACCACCAAACCACTACCATCACCACCACAACCCACCACCACCACCACAAACCACCACCACACCACCACCAAACCACCACCACCACCACCACCATCCACCACCACAACCACCACCACCACCACCACCACCACAACCACCACCACCGCCACCGTCGTCCTCGTCGACGCTCCCCGCCGCCGCCGCCGCCCGCCGCCGCAAGCGCCGGCGCAAGCGCCGGCGCCGGCCCAGAGAAAGAAATCGTCGTCCCCGCCGCCGCCGCCAGCCGCCGCCTGCACAGGCGCCGGCCCGAGGAGAGAGGAGAGGGAGGGAGGAGAGGCGGGGAGGGGTCCAGTTCCAAACCCCCACCCCATCCAAGCGACCACAGAACGCGCTCTTTCTGATCTTGAGTGCCGCTGGGGGGGGGAGGGCGGATGGCCGAGGCTCTGCGCACACACTCCTGGCGCACACTCGCGTCGAGGCGTTCGGCACGGGACGCCGCTCCGAGAGCGCGACGCACGAGTGGAGCACCTGCAGAACGGGCCAAGCGGCGAGACCTGGCGGCAGGCGTCCTTGCGCCAGCCTCGAGATGCCTTCATGGGCGCACTTCCCTATCCCCCCTTCCCCTGCGGTCGGAAACGTTTGCTTCGAGTGTCGCGGCGGCGGCCGCAGCGACACGCTACGCCCTGCAAGAGGATGGCGAGTCATTCCGCTCCGTGGGGCGGGAGTCTGGGAAAGGGTCGGGACGTTGACGCTGGGAAATAAAGGCGTGGATAGCGCGTCGCGCCGAAGCGTGGTGGGCCAGAACCTGCGGAGCGACACGCTAAGCCAATGTTCCCGGCCACATTCCCTCTCTCTAGCGGGAAGAAAAGCCGGCATAAGCGCCGACGTTGGGAGCTCCGAAAGCTAATGCTTGCGCCATGGAATACTCCCCCCCTCTCGCCTCCCAGGGCCCTGGGAGACGCCCCCCCCGCCTCTCGGCCGCGCCCAGGGGCACCAGCGCGACCTCCCGGCGCCCGCCGCGGCCGCCGCCGCCGCCGCCCTCAGAGTCTCCTCGGGCCGCGCCCACGGGGGGGGGGCGGCGGGCGCACGAGCCGCTGCCGGCTGCTGGCTGGCTGCTGCTGCGCACGGTGCATAAGAGATCGCGGTGGTTTTAGCGTCAACTCTTGCAGGCAGGCACGACGTGCAGGAGGAGGGAGGAGGAGAGAGGGGGAGAAGGGAAGGCGGAAGCAGGAGGGGGAGGAGGAGGAGGAGGAGGAGGAGGAGGAGGAGCAGGGAGGAGGAAGGAGGCAGGAGGGGAGGAGGAGGAGGAGGAGAACGAGGAGGAGGAGTGGAAGGAGGAGGAGGGAGAAGGGAGGAGGAGGAGGGGAGGTGAAGGAGGAGGAGGAGGAGAGCAGGAGGAGGAGGAGAAAGAGCGGAGGGAGGAGGAGGGAGGAGGAGGAGGAGGAGGAGGAGGAGGAGAAGGGGGGAGTAAGAGGAGGAGGAGGAGGAGGAGGAGGAGGAGGAGGAGGAGGCAAGGAGGAGGAAGAGGAGGAGGAGGCGGGAAGGGGGAGGAGGGGGGAGTAAGAGGAGGAGGGATGAGGAGGGAGGAGGGAAGAGGAGGAGCAGGAAGAAGGGGAGGAGGAGGAGGCTGAGCGACAGCTGCAGCTCAATTCAAGGCCTCCTGCGCCCCGGCTCATTTCAGAATCCTCTTGTCGTTTTCGCCATCCACATAGTTGATGATCTTGGCGTGGATCGTTGCGACCTTCGTCTCGTAATCCGCCAGGCTGCTGACGCAGTAGTAGGTCAGGTAGTGCATCACCTCTGCCCCGACAAGCACCCAGATGCCGCTGCGGATGTAGATGACAATGCCCTCGTCCCTGTAGATGCCCCCCGCGAACGTGCCCACGATGATGCCCATGAGCAGCACGTCCATCATCGACAAGTGCTTCAAAACCTCGGACTTCGCCATTGCCGGACACGGGTGATTGCCAATTTGATTCTCCTTCGACAGCTGCCAGGCCGTCCTGATCAAATTGGCCATGTTGAGGGCAGTGAGGGTCACCGCAAACACCGCAAGCATCACAAAGCCCAGAAGGATGTTGAGGTCATGGTCGGTGGCGAACCAGTACATCAGCGACCCCATTGCTTGCACGAGGCTGACGTTCTGCGGGAAGATGATCTTGTTGAGTTTGATCATCTTGAGCACCTGCTTCATCCCATCAGGCACGTGGTCCTTGAGCAGGTCTGCGTCGAGGCGCAGGGCGAAGCACGGGACGCCGAGGCCGTAGACGAAGAGGCACGCCCACACGGTCGCGAGGAGCCCGACGAGCACCAGGAGCCTCCGCTTCTCGGCGCCCGGACTCTCGAAGCTGCCCGCGATCATGCGCCTCACGAGGGGCGGCTTCACCTCCTTCACCACCTCGCCGCTCTCGATGTTCGGCAAGGGGACGCCCAGCGACGATATCGCGCAAGTGATTGAGAAGACGCTGTAGCACGTAAAGCCTATGTCGAACATGCATAGCGTGCTGACCGGGAGGTTCTGCAGCCTGCGGATCAGGTAGTAAAGCAAGACGTACGCGAACATGTCGGGCGCGGCCCACTTCGAGATGAATTGCATCAGGCAGATGCAGCACCTCGCCAGCCTCCGCAGCCAGATCTTCTCGCTGAACCTGAAGAGCTCACCGATGCCTAGCAGGATCAGCTTCACCGTCGGCACGATGAACGCGTAGATCGCGATGAGGATGGCACCGACGTGGGCCCTCGTCGTCCACAGCAGATGAACAAGCGTCCTCGTGGACTCGTGGATGGGGCCGGGGACCCAGCCGTGGTGCTCGTCCTGCGTGATGCCTACTCGCTGGCCAGTGACTGGAACGACAAAGCCAATGTTGAAGCTGAAATCCGCGGAGAAGATCGCTGGAATCCAGATCAAGTAGCTGGCGAGCAGCAGGAAACCGATTCGGTAGGAGAAGCGCCTCGGCTTCTCCTCGTCGGACGCCGTGCGGCCGTCCAACTTGTGACCGATGAAGGGCATGATGCAGACGCAGGCCAGGATCACGATGACGGCGAGGTTGTTGAACAGGAGACTGTGGCCGTTCAGCAGTTCGGTGTTCCTCGCGTCGTTGGATTGAGGCGCGCTCTGCTGGTTTGCCAAATCGATGATGGCCTTGGTGAGATCCCCCATCAGAAGCCCGTTGATGATCGTAGGATTGGACATCATGGCGCTAAAGTCGATCGGCTGGCCCTTGTCAACCATTTCCTTGCTGAGTTCCCTGATCAAGTTCGTGGTGAATTCCAGCTTTCCGGCCTCCTTCAACATCAGGATGTTTCTCCTGGTCGCCTCGGCCTGCGAACTCAGCCTGTCGTCGAAGAAGTGTGCGCTGTCGTGCAGGTTCACGACCTTGGCGTCCATCTCTGCGCGCAGCTGCGCCGCGTCCCCCGGGAGCTGGCCTGCGGAGGAAGCCGAGGCCATGCGCACGTCGACCTGCATCAGCGCGCAGCCGTCCAGGTCGGCCTGCGCGGTCGCCGTCGCGGAGAGCACGGCAAGCACGCAAGAGACCACGGTCCATGGGCAGCGCGGCGCTGCCCGCATAGCGGAATGCAGCATGACGAATAAGATAAATCACACGAACATCAAGATCATATGAATCTTGAGCCAAAATGGCTATGGCGCGAAGAGGAGGACTGGGAGGACAAGGAGGGGGAGGAAGAGGAGGAGGAGGAGGAGCAGCAGGAGGAGGGGAAGGAGGAGGAGGAGGGAGGAGGAAGAAGGAGGGAGGAGGACAAGGAGGGGGAGGGAGGAGGAGGAGGGAGGAGGAGGAGGAGGAGGAGAGGAGGAGGAGGATAAGCGAAGGAGAAACACGGGGCCTGGCCTACCCTGGGGCATCCGAGGTAGCCGTCGTCTCTCTTCTTGTTGCTCCTTCGCCCCGCTCCTGTCCTACGTCCCGCTCCTGTCCTCCTTCTCCTCCTCCTCCTCCTCCTCCTCCTCCTCCTCCCCTCCTCTCCTCTCCTCCTCCTCCTCCTCCTCCTCCTCCTCCTCCTCTCCCTCATCCTCCTCCCCCTCCTCCTCCTTCCTCATCCTACTCCTCCTGCCTCCTCCATCTCCTCCTCCTCCCTCCTCCTCTCTCACCTCCTCCTCCTCCTCCTCCTCCTCCTCCTCCTCCTCCTTCTCCTCCTCTTCCTCCTCCTCTTCCTCCTCCTCCGAGGGATTCGGATTCGGGGACGTTTTTGTCTCGCCCTGAGCATCTGGAGCTGTTTGGGCGCTTCTGCTCCTCTTTTGGGTGCCAGGGGCCTCTGGCTGGGGGTCTTCTGTAGAGGCCTCCTAGGTGGGGTCCGAGTAGAAGGGGCTGGATGATCGCGCAGCATCGCCGATGCATCGGCGACGTCGGCGATGCATCGGCGCCGTCGACGTGGAGAAAGAAGGGCCTACATCGAGCCGCATCGGCAGTGCACCGGCGATGCGGCACGACGCTCCGCCCCAATGAGCTCCGAACCCCACCTGGGCGACCGGCATTCCGGGCCTCCGGAGGCCTCCGAGAACCTCCAGAGGCCTCCGAGAGCTGACACTCCGGCCGAGCTTGCTTCGAGGCAGAGCGTGGCCTTCGGCAGCCGCCCGCTCCGCCCACGCGCGCGCGTTGTGTACGGGTGCCGCGAGCGTCGGCGAGCGTGCTCTCCACGCGTGCGTGTGCTGCGTGCTCAGGTTCCCTGGATTGCGTTCTGGGCGGCAAATGCGGTCGCGCCTTCAGTGTAATTCTGCACTGTGCTGGCAAGCTGGACTGTCCTTCGCATGACGTGCGTGAGCGGTCGCCCCAGACTTGTGGATGCCATGACAATGGACACCTTAACCATCCTATCATTGAATTAAACATGTGTTTAAACTGTGTAAAACATGTTCTAAACATGTTTCAAGCATGTGTTTGACATTTTTAGTTCATGTTTGAAAAAATGTTAGACATCCGGACATTATTTGGCAGCATGCTCGGCGGTGGAAGAACCTCCCTTTAGTAAACCTCCCCTTTGTGAAAACTACCTGGGACCGAAACCGACGGACCTGGACCCGCAAAAACGACGGCCCTGACGCCCTCTCGCGAACCGAAAACGGCCAAGCCCTGAATCGACGTGTCAGGGTGGGAGGTCGACGTGTCAGGGTAGGAGGCCTGGACACGCCTCCTCTCCATCCATCGACTTCCACGACCCCAGACTTGCTCCACCCGGCAGCTCCTGGACCTGCCACACCGTGGCACGGCCGCGTGCCCTGCCCTGCCCCTCCCAGCTCGCTGCCCGTGTGAGCCCGTGCTCCGGCACACACGCTTTCTTTGATCCACGGGTCGAGAGCGCACCTCTTCCGGTCGAAGCTCAGCGGGCCGCGCGAAGCTTGCATTAGGCAGAGAAGAGGAGGGAGGAAGCGGCGGAGCCTCAGGTGCGAGGCCGAGAGGAGGCATAGCCTCGGATACAGGCGGTACCGAAGCCGAAGCTCTTGCAAAGGGACGCCTTCGGCAGGAGCCCGGTGGCGAAGTACCGGAGAGGAGCAAAATGCTCGCTGCCCTCCTCCTCCTCCTCGTCCCGCTCCTCCTCCTCCTCCTCCTCCTCCTCCTCCTCCTCCTCCTCATCCTCCTCCTCCTCCTCCTCCTCCTCCTCCTCCTCCTCCTCCTCACCCTCCTCATCCTCCTCCTCCTCCTCCTCCCCCTCCTCCTCCTCCTCCTCCTCCTCCTCCTGCCCGTGTGAGCCCGTGCTCCGCCACACGCGCGCGCAGGGCCCTCGCGGTCCGAGCCTGCTCCGCCGCCCGCGTGCCGGCTCCCCTCTCCGCGCCCCGTCCAGCGCCCGTCGTGCCCAGGCAGGCTCCGCTGCGTCCTTCGGCCTCCTCCGCCTCCATCCTCCTCCTCCTCCTCCTCCTCCTCCTCCTCCTCCTCCTCCTCTTCTCCTCTTATCCTCCTCCTCTCCTCCTCCTCCTCCTCCTCCTCCTCCTCCTCCTCCTCCTCCTCCTCCTCCTCCTCCTCCTCCTCCTCCTCCTCCTCCTCCTCCTCCAGGCTCCGCTGCGTCCTTCGGCTGTCCCGATCGCACCTTGGACCCAAGTCGCCGCCGACAAGAGAGTGCTGCGTGCTCAGCCTTGGGCGCACTGGCCATGCGCGCCTGTGCAACTCGGTCGTTGTGCTCACGATGCCTGTGGGCGCGCGGCTTCGGCGACGCTCCGGCGGAAAAAAAAGTGCCACCTGCTGCTGTACTTTCTCAAGGCATGCGACCCGGTGATGCTGCTCGGAGACGGTCTGGGCGTCACAAAACGTCAGGACGCCGCACTGGCACTGACCTCGTAGCATCCATGCTGTGAACTTCGGCGCGCTTGACCGTGAAGACACCCGTGCGCCACGAAGCTGCAATGAAGACCCGCAGGGCCGCACACGAGTTGCCAGTGGCCCATCAATGTCACGGACGAGCTCTACGTGAATCAAGTGTCCTGCATGGTCATGTGGCCTCTGGGCTGGATATGCTCCGCTTGCCGGGAAGCAGTAGCCCGACCGAAAGACGCGCCTGGTGAAGCGTGGCCAGGCTATGATCGTCTGGGCCATGCCAAGCTGAAGCGAAGATCAGTTAAGATACGCCAGCGTGCGTACGCATTGAATGAAGTGAACTCAGGCACCTTACTCCTTCATGCCGAGTTCTGTAAAGCGAATGGGCCGAGACCCCTGACTGACGAAATTGTTGATCGTTCGCGCGATTTTTTCAGAAGCCTCGGGAGCGTGGTTGAAGACCTCTCCCCAAACTTGCCAAGGGTCCGTGCTAGAGCCCCCGCTGGGGGCCTCTTGGGCTAGCTTGGAGGCACTGGCGGCCAGCCGAAGAGGCCACAAGCATTGAAACATGTATTACACTGTCATAATATGTATATGTTTCGGTCTTGAAGGCGCCCACGACGGCCTAGCAGGCCCCCAAGATCGCTCCAAGACAGCCTCGAGGCCCCGAAGAAGGGCCCAAAGACCCGGAAGACCGCCCAAGCAAGTGCCCAAAAGGGGGAACCCGAAGTGACATTTAGAGACCTCCACCGCAAGATGGCGAAAGCAATCAAGATACTTCCCGGAGGGCTCCAGAGAGCCCCCAGGAGGCCCCCAAGAGGGACCTCCAAAAGAAGGCCTTCAAGAGGCCTCCAGGAGGCTCCCCAGGAAACCCCACGGGGCATCCAAAAGTCCTCAAGTCCACGACCCACGCGTGGAAGGCCATTAGATGAATAATTCCACACAATCTGGGCTAAGGCTGAGATACGGTAAGCCAGAATGGGGTTGACGGAGGCAAACTGAGGTCAGAGCAGATGGGATCAGCTAAACCACGCGACTACGAGCGAGGCTCAGCTGAAGTGAGCTGGACTGGACAGGGCTGAGATGAGACAAGCTATGATGAGGTGGCGGATGAACCGCACGTAGCACAACCAAGCTAGGATGAAGTCGGGCATGTCCTCCTACAGGCGGATTCTGGACGAAAAAAATAAGAATTGAACAAATACTCAAAAGGGTTAAAAGAACTACTCAAAAATCGCCCCTAAGATTTTATGTACTTTTGAATATCTCTCCTGTAGAAGGACACGCCCAAGGCTAAGGATCGACCCGCCGCCGTCGACGCGCCTCCAGCGGGCTGGAGCGACGGCGCGCGCGCGCGTCTCCTCTGGACCTGCGTCTCCTTCTCGGCAAGGATCTCGAGGACTCGGGGCGCGGCCGCCGAAGTCGCGGAGAAGAGGCTTGCGAGCGACGGGAAGAGAGAGAGTGATAAAGAGAGAAAGAACGAGACATAGAGAGAGAGAGAGAGAGAGCGCCCGCGGCACACTCTCAAAATGGGGGGGGGGTCCCCCTCAGCTATCCCCCACCCCCGTGGACCGCCACTGCCCGAAGCCCCCCCCTCCATGTTCGCCCCTCGGAAGCGACCCCCTCGTTTCCCTTTTGCGCTCCGGAAGCCCGGAAACTATCCCACCCCCTCCGTGTCCAACCCCCCCATTTCCAGAAGCCCCCCCCCCTCCTTTGCTTGCGCTCATTGGAACCTTCGACCCCCCCTCCCTCCCCCCATTTCGCGCTCCAGAAACTCCCCACCCCCCTTCCCTTTCCAAAACAGGGTGGGCTTGGCCGCCCCCCGGTTCCATTGCACCCCCCCTGCCTGAAGCACCCCCTTTCCGAAGGGGGGGGGCTGAGCTCCCCCCCCTCACTTTGCCAGCTCTCATGCCTGAAGCCCCACCCCCCCGTCGGGCCAAGGGGGAGCTGGTTCGGAAGCCCTCCGACCCTTCGGCTAAAGGAAGAAGCGCCGAAGACCAGAGAGCAACCGAAAACCGAAAGGTTGCGAAAACCAGAAGCGCGCCGCAAACCGAAGGAACGCCGAAAATCGGAAAGACGCCGAAAACCAAAGCGGAAGCGGAAGCGGAAGCGCGCTGTGTCCGGCCGAAACCGACCCGCGAGGGGCGGAGCGCAGGGGCCGCAGCCCTCACATGATCGTGCACTTCGTGAGATCCCCCTTCCAAAGCCTCCCAATTTCCGGATAAAGCAAACCACGATTCCTGAAATCCTGCGTCCGTGAGAAAATTATGACTGAAGTCTGCCCACTGGCTTTTGGGTCTACCTTGTGACCGAGCCAAATTCCGCTTCGCCGTGCGCTGCGGCTCCCAAATAACAACAACTCGCGCCCACCTTTCTCTGTCCAGCTCTCGCACGCGTTCTGCCCACTTTCATTTCGACCTTCGTTGCGCGACTGTCCACAAATCAACATGCAGATCTTCCAATGTCGTCTCGGCTGCGCGCGTTGCCCGTGTCATCCAATCCACCGAAGGCTCTAATTCTCCATATGCAGTGCCGCGTGCCCAGGTTCGCCGCCTCTGGTGTCCAAGGATGAGACGCAGCATGCGTCGCCGACATTTTTGCAACTTCCGACCCATAGTTGCCGTCAACGTCCAGGTCGCTGCACCGCACAGTACTGTGGGCTTGACGACCATGCCAAACAGTTTCAAGCAACCACTCAAGGAGTACATGTTGTAGGCGAGCTCTTGCATGTACACCATAAATTTCCGCCAACACATGGCAAGTCTGTCGTGAAGCGCCGCGTCGTCGGGCTCGTCAAAGGTGAGCTTGCGCCCGAGGTATTTGACGCTGCCTGAAAGAGAAACGAAACTCGATTCTTCTACTATCCACATCCATGCACGTCCTGGATAATATACCTGTCCATTTCGTCAAATTGCATGCGATGTTCGCTTTCTCTGGATGGAATGTCAAGCCCTTCTGTCCAGCAGCCGCAACGTGGCCGCCGAGCATATTCCGCAGATGTGCATAAGACGACGCAGCCAGTAAGACACCATCGGCAACGCGTACATTGGATAGCAAAATACACTCTGTATAACCAAGAGGTCACCCACAACTCTTCTGCGACCACTTCTCCTTCACCTCCCGGAACACGCATTCCAGGACGGCGTTGAAAAGCAACGAGTTCAGAGGATCACCTTCTTTGGTTCACCGTCGCAGAGAGACGGGTCCTGTCTGCGCGAACATCACCATTCTGATCTGAGTACAAGTGCGAAAAGAAGGTCACGTAAGCGCGCGGTACACCATGCCTCTTGAGCGCCTTACATACCCACTTGCGCTCCACATTGTCGAACGCCTTCATAAAGCCCAGCGCCGCAAACCACACTGGGCGGCTCCATTCTTGATTTTATTGCATTCGAGATGTCACCCCAATGGTCCACCGCACTGGAGTCGCGTCGAAAGCCAGCCTGGTCAGGCACCTGCTCCTTGTCTGAGATCTTCTCCAATCGCTGGGCAAACAGCCGGGCAAACAACATGCAAAGAATTTGTATACTTGCTCAGGGCCTGTAATTTGACGGTAACTTCGGGCCACCGACTTTGAACACCATTGTCACAAGGGACTCCTTCCACCTTGCTGGGGCCTTCTTCGGATCTTCCAGGATACGATTGCACACGACAAACAGCGCGTTCTCCAAAAGGTGTTCCTCCTGCTTTGATAATTTCTGTGATTATTCCAGCCGTGTCCATGCATTTGCCACACATGAGTTGCCGCACTGCCTCGCGGAGCTCGTCCTCTGTGAAGGGCTGGACTCCCGCGACGTCCAATTCAGCAGGTAAACACGTTTCGGTTTCCAACGCGTGCCAGGACGCGTACAAGTCCGAATTTGAAATCCGAAAACACATTAGCTATGTCTTGTCTGCTCGTCTGCTCCATCACTACTGAATCTACCACTGATGCGATCAAGTTCCGTTTTCCTCTTTGTTTGGTGTCTGCAATGATTCCCAATCCTTCTCCTGAGACCAATATTTCTGACACGTGCGCCTGGCATTCCGAGCGGTGCAAGTTGCGGATATCCCTCCGGATGTGTTTGCTTACCTGCGTACGTGCACTAGGCTCGCCTCGATGGTTTGTTCGTTGATGTACTAGCGCTTGAAAATTGTTGCCCGTAGGTCTGCCGCATTGTCGATTGGACCGTTCTGGAAATGATGGTTTCGAGGCCGTATTAGGCATATATTCTTCTATTCAGCCAAGCCCCAGTCCACCACCCATCGACAGAGTCACACTTGATGTTGTGATTCCGATATGTGTGTGCTTTGTTGTGTTTCTTATTTCTCTTCTTTCGCTTCTCCTCGCCTGCCTTCAACACCACGCGAACAGCGCGATGGTCAGAACCGAGGTCGACGAATGGCTGCGAATCTGCATTCGTGACTTGTCACCACGCCCTCCTGTCTACAAGTATGGACTCGATCTGCCGGGTCCGTCCACTAGGCCCACATATGTGCAGCGTTGGTGCGGCGGTTTTGGGAAGTACGTGTTGGCAATCACCTACCTGTCTTGCACATGATGCCCAGCTCTTTAGCCAAGTGCCTCTGGAATTCGAAAGAACAAGACCATGACGACCAAGGATCCTGGTGTCATCGCTCTCCGTGCAGTTCCCAACTTGAGCGTTAAAATCGGCACCAAGGTTTAAACCCATCTTCTTCTCCTGCGCATATGATCTTAGCTCTGTGAAAATAGTGTACAGCTCCTGCATGTACGCGTCCCCACAGCCAGAACGAGGAAAATGTGCAGACACAATCCTCGCTCTCAGTCCACCTACCAAGATATCAACACATGCAACTATTTCCAAAAATCCCAATGATATCTCGAACGTAATTCACAAAGCGCTTGTTGTATCAGAATGGTGACCCCACGTCTACCTGCCATGCCACCAGAAGCTGTGAATAGGTGACCTGATGGAGTAGTGAACTAATATGTGTTGTCCTATCACCATGTTTCGTTTTTTTAAGGATATCCCACTCCACCGACGATAACTTGGAAAAGAACTCTCCAAGGCGGCCGTCGTTACTCAAAACACGTGTTTTTTTCAAAAGAATCGAAACACTGCGTGTATTCATGGCTCGTGGTATTGGATGACCTTCACCATGCCTATCCTTGAACTGGTGCCCGCTGTGCGGTTCGATTGCGCTCCGGCTTGCAGTGCGTCACTCAAACCCCCGTTTCTCAATCCACTCTGAGATGCTCTCAATAATCAGGTCCTTGATGGCGTTCAAACTGTCGTCGAGCTCTATGCTCCCGCCCGCTCCGATCAAAGCGACCTTCTCACCCTTTCGTTGTCCTGTGGACTTGTCCCACTTGATGCGAATATCTTTTAATGGATGTCTGGCGTCTTCGTGAAGATGGCATTTCGTATATCCCAACGATTTGTCGCAGCATCCTTTTCGATCTTTTCCGAAGACCGAAGGCGCGCCGAAAACCAAAGGAGCGCCGAAAACCAAAGGGGCGCCAAAACTAAAAGGGCGCCGACCATCAAAAGGGAACCGAAAACCAAAGGAGCGCGGAAAACCAAAAGAGCGCCGAAAACCAAAGGGGCGCACAAAACCAAATGGGCGCCGAAAACCGAACGAACGCCGGAAACCAAAGAGGCGCCGAAAAACAAAAGCTCCGAAAACCAGCGGGGCGCCGGAAAACCAAAAAGGCGCCGACAACCAAAAGAAACGCCGAGAATCATAGCAGCGCCGAAAACCAAAAGGGCGCCGAAAACCAAATAAGCACCGAAACCCAAAAGGGCGCCAAAAACCAAAGAGTCGCCGAACTTGAAAAGGACGCCGGAAACCAAAGGCGCGCCGGAAACCAATAAGGCGCCGACAACCAAAAGGTCGCCAAACACCAATAGGGCACCGAATACAAAAACAGTGCCGAAAACCAAAGGGGCGCCCAGAACGAAAAGGGCACCGAAAACTAAAAAGGCACCGAAAACCAAAGGGGCGCCGAAAAACAATGGGGCGCAGAAAACCAGGAGGGCGAAAACCAAAAATGAAAAAAGCGCCGAACACAAAAAGGGGCGACGAAAACAAAGAAGGGGCGAAACCAAAAGAGCACCGAAAACCCAAGGGACGCCGAAAACAAGAAGGCGCCGAAAACCAAAAAGGCGCCGAAAGCCCAGGGGGAGCCGAAAACCGAAAGGAGCACCGAAAATCAAAGGGGCGCCGAAAACCAACGATGCACCGAAAACCAAAAAGGCGCCAAATACCCAAAGGAGCGCCGTTAACCAAAAGGACGCTGAAAACCAAAGGGACGCAAACAACAACGAAGCTGCGAAAACGGACAGGGCGCCGAAAACAAAAAGGACGCTGAAAACCAAAGGTGCGCCGAAAATCGCAGGAGCGCAGAAAACGAAAGGGGCGCCGAAAACCAAACACGCGCCAAAAACCAAAGAAGCGCCAAAAACCAACGATGCACCGAAAACCAAAAGGGCACCGAAAAAACAAAAAACAAAAAAACGCGCCGATAACCAAAAGAGCGTTGAAAACCAAAGGGCTCCAAAAACCAAAGGCGCTCCGAAAGTCGAAGAGCGTCGAAAACCACAGGGGCGCCGAAAACCAAAAAGCGCCGAAAACCAAAACGGCGCAGAAACTAAAAGGGCGCCGAAAATTCGAAGGGCGCCGAAAACAAAGAGGGTGCCGAAAACCGAAGGGGCGCCGGAACCAAAGAGGGCGCCGAAAACCAACGATGCGCCGAAAACCACTGGCCGCGCAGAAAATCAAAAGGGGCGTCGAAAACCCAAGGAGCGCCGAAAACCGAAGGAGCGCCGACAACCAAAGGAACGCCGAACACTGAAGCAGCGCCGACCCCCCCCCCCCAAAAAAAAAAAGCCAAAGACCCAAGGGGCGCCGAAAACCAAAGAGGCGCCGAAAACCAAAGGGACGCCGAAAACCACAAGTACGCCAAAAACCAAAGAGGCGCCGAAAACCAAGGAGGAAAAGTACATTTCAAAGCCCCCCCTTCAGCCAGGACCCTCCAGCTGGAAAAGCCCACAGAAGTAGGGGAGGGGCGGGGGTAGCTTCGGAAGCCACCCCCCACTCTTGAAAGGGGAGCCCAGGCTTACCCCGGGCCCCGAAAAGGAGGGGGGGGTAGCTTCCAAGCCCGCCCCCCCCTTTGGCCAGGGACCCGCCAGTTACAAAATCCAAACAAAAAGAAGAGGGGGGAGGTAGTTTCGGAAGCCCCTCCCCCCCTTCCAAAGGGGAATCCGGACTGACCCCGGGCGCCGAAAAGGGGAGGGGGGGGGTTCGCTTCCAAGCCCCCCCCCCCTTCTAGCCAGGGCCCTCCCCCCAGCCAAAAGATGCCCGCAAAGGGCGGGGGAGCGGGGGGGGGGGCAGCTCTGGAAGCCCCCCCCCTTCTTTCCAAGCGAGGGGGGGGGGGAGCTTGAAGCTGGGGCCCCCCCTTGTCGTGGGAGGCGTGCCACGAGCGCGCTCTGCCCGAGAAGACCCCCACCGCAAGGAAGACGGCGAGAGGCGGGCGCGAGGGCGGAGGCGTGCACGAGGCGCCCCCGCCAGCTTATTGGGGAAGCCGACCCTGGTCAAGCCGTTTGCGGACTGGCGGCGAACAGCGGCGGAGAACGGCAAAGAGGAGAGAAAGAGGAGGAGGAGGAGGAGGAGGAGGGGAGGAGGCGGAGAAGGAGGAGGAGGCGGAGGAGGAGGAGGAGGAGGAGGAGGAGGGAGGAAGAGGAGGAGGGGGAGGAGGAGGAGAGGAGGAGGAGGAGGAGGCGGGGAGGAGGCGGAGGAGTGGGGGGGAAGGAGGAGGAGGAGGAGGAGGAGGGAGGAGGAGGAGGAGGAGGGCGGAGGAGGAGGAGGAGGAGGAGGAGGAGGAGGAGGGGAGGAGGAGGGGGAGGAGGCGGAGGAGGAGGAGGAAGGGGAGGGGGGGAAGAGGAGGAGGAGGATGGCGGCAGATAGCGCAAATAGCGGCAGACGCCCCGCGCCGACCGTCCACCCATCACCCCCCCCCCTAGTCGCCGCGAAACGCTCCCCCCCCCCAAAAAACAAAGCTGCTGGTGAAGTTTCAGGCGGCCCGCAAGACAAGCCTCAAGGGCCGGGGCGAGGCGCGGCGTGCCCGACCTGTGAAGCGAGGCGGCCGACGGCAGGGCGCAGCTCGGGCGGGCCCGCCCGAAACGGATGCGGGGAGGGCGGGGTGCGGGAAAAGAAGCGGTGCGCGACACGGCCAGGAACCTCTGCTTGGCGTGCTGAAGCGGCGGCCCCGGCGGCACGCCGTGCCTCGAGCGCGGGCGGCGTGCCGCTCCGCTCCAGAGGGGCGGGAGGCTCGGCAGGGCTCGGGGCTGGGACGCCTGGGGGCCGCGACGTGGCTCGCGTGTCGCGCCGACGCGCGGCCGGCCAGAGCCGGCGGAGCGACGCGCCAGGCCAAAGTTCCGAGACGCAGATGCCCGGCAGCACGCGTGGTCCCGAAGCGGCAGCGGTCACCGACTGGCAGATGGCCTTCCGTTGTCCAGCGGACCGCGCCCGCGACGGCACCGACAACGAGCACTGCCCAGAGTGGACAACAACTGCTGTGGGACTGCGCCCCATGCATGCCACACACGCACACACACACACACACACACGTCGACCATCCCAATCAGGAGACCAACGAGGGGGGCACCCAGGGCCGATCGTCCTCCTCCTCCTCCTCCTCCTCCTCCTCCTCCAACTAACTCCTCCTCCTCCTCCTCCTCCTCCTCATCATCATCATCATCATCAGCAGCAGCAGCATCATCATCAGCATCATCATCATCATCATCATCATCATCATCATCATCATCATCATCATCATCATCATCATCATCATCGTCATCATCATCACCACCATCATCATCATCATCATCATCATCATCATCCCCCTCCTCCTCCTCCTCCTCCTCCTCCGCCGCCTCATGCTCCTCCTCCTCAGTCTCCCCGATGTCCCCCTCAACATCCAAGGTATTACAGCAGGGTCGGCCAATTGGACTGGACAAGGATGCGCGGAAGGCGGCCAGAGAGCAACAGGATCAGACACAGAAGAAGAGGGGGGCGGACGGAGCGGAAGGAGAAGGTGGAACGCCTGTCAAATCCTTGAGGGGAGGACGCGGAGGAGGAAGTGGAATGGAAGAGATGGAGGAGGAGGAGGAGGAGGAGGAGGAGGAGGAGGAGGAGGAGGAGGAGGAGGAGGAGGCGGTGGAGAATGAGGAGGCGGTGGAGACGGATGACAAAGGCAAGGGGCAGAGGACAAGGCTGGGACGCGCATCCCCCCCTTTTTCTGACTCCTCAGCGCGGACAGCGCAGAGGAGTGGAGGAGGGGCAGGAGCAGGAGTAGAGGATGCAGGAGGATGCAGAGGATGAGGCGGGATAGGCGGAGGGATGGAGAATGGTATGCACTTTTTGAGCCAGGTAGCGCGGGTTATCTGGGCGGGCGGATGGGCGAGTCCGCTAGCAGGTGGCATCACGCCCATGCCCCGGTTGTTGCGATTGCTGCAACTAATGCTGCGATTGTTACTTACTAATCCTGCAACTGTGGCTGCGACTGCTGGTGATACTGCAAATCTGCTGCTTGTGCTGCCAGCGCTGCTGATACTACTCCTGCTACTGTTGCTCCTACTACTGCTGACGCTACTACTGACTGGAAGGCCGATGCTACTAGTGCTGATGCTCTTAATGCTGCGGTTGCCTCTGCTATTGATGGTGCTGCTGCTTCCACTGCTGCTACTGTTGCTACTGTGGCTGCTGTTGCTGCTGGTACTGTTGTTCCTAATACTGTCGCTACTGCTGCTGCTGCTACTGGTGTCCCTACTACGCACTGTTCTGCTGGAGGGATGGCGGAGGAGAGCGAGGAGGGTCGAAGGATGCTGGTGGAGAGGAGGGCTGGAGGAGGAGGAAGAGAAAAGAAGAAAAAAAAAAGGAAGGACGTCGGCGATTGGGGGAGGGCTGAGGAAGGAAGAGGGTGAAGAAGAAGAAGAAGAAGAAAAGGAGCAGGAGGCCTGCGTGCAGCACGTGCACGAGTACACCACCTGCGCGCCTAAACACACAAGCCTGCGAACACCACAAGCGCATGCTTGTGCACACTGCAGGCGTCGGAGACACAAGGCGCACGGGAACAAGCACGGCTTGCGTACACCACAGAGCGAGCAGACACCAAAGGGCCTGTCTACACTGCCACGGGCCTGCGCAGACCACGTGCCCGTGTACACCGCAAGCCTGTGTCCACCACAAGCCTACGAAAGCGCGCGAAGCGATAGATCCAACACCCATGTGCGCTAACCACTGTGGTGGGTGGGTTGGCAGCGGTGCTGAGCGGGACGAGCGGGGCGTCATGCGATCCATTGAAAAAGCTGGTGTTTGGGAGACCAGATAATGCACCTGACCTGCTTACCCGAGAGAACTCCACCTAGAGAAGAAGGGGGCAACGAGGAGGAGGGAGAACGAGCAGGAAGACAGAGGAAGGAGAACCTTTCCTTGTCGTTTCCTGTTCCCCGCCCTTCCGCCCATCCCTCCCTCATGCCCACTCGCAACCGATCCCATTCCATTTCCTATCGCCTCACATGAATTCTCCTTCCTCGCTTCTCGATCCCAGTCCATTCCACATCCCCGCGCCCCCCCTCCCCCTTTGGCGATGTCCTTGGCTCTTCTCAGGATGTCCCGAGCACGGCCGTCCAGCTTGACAATACGGGCCTTGTCCGACTTTTCCTGCGGCGCGTGTCGGGAAGGTCGAAACTCCTCCCCCCCCCCAGCAGAGGTGGCCGGCGGCTTCCAATCGGCCCTCCCATGAGCCCCACGTGCGGTCGTCGGAGGGCGACGAGGAGGACCTAGGATACACACTTCAATGATGCTGCGGTACATACCCCAGTCCCCAATCTCCCCCCACGAGTACCAACAGGTGTTCCTTTTTAGTGCGGAGAGAGGCAGGTTGAAAGATGGACGCCAAATGGGCATGTCCTGCAGGCGAGACCCCCACCTTGACTTGGAAACGCCCCGCATGTTTGGAGGAGGAAGAGAGTGCGGCCTCCCCCCCGTGTCCAAAGGATACCCTCGAGCCATGGGCAGAGGCGAAGCGTAGCCCCACCACAAAGCCAGCTGCGACGCACGCGAGGCGGAGCGATGCCAAGCGGGATGGCAAGCGGGATGCGAGCGGCACGGCCCGCTGCCTTACGCAGACGATCGAGGGTTTCAGCAGGTTGTAACTGCGAGTCCACGCTCGGCACCATCACAGGAAGGCAGCACGACAACGTGGAGCTTCTCCTCCTCCTCCTCCTCCTCCTCCTCCTCCTCCTCCTCCTCCTCCTCCTCCTCCTTCTCCTCCTCCTCCTCCTCCTCCTCCTCACTCCAACTCCCACCACCCTCGCGCTTGTCCACCCTCCGCCCCCGCCCGCCCCGCCCCCGCCCCCCGCCCTTCACTGCCGCCCCCCCCCCCCCCTCTGTTGGAGGATGGGCACGGCCGGAGCAGGGAAAGAAAGAGGAGGACGAGGGGGCTGAGGAAGAGAGAAGGTCAGGAAGACGGGCGGAAGAAGGGAGGACAGGGACGGAGGAGCACCAGGAGGAGGAGGAGGAGGAGGACCGAAGAAAAACCGACAGGCGTCAACGGTGCTGCAATACGCATCCCGCTCCAAGTCCCCTCACCATGAGACCCTGCAAAAGCTCAGCTTCACGACAAGAAGTCGAAAAGCCCCCTGGGGGGGAGGAAGAAAAAAAAAAAAAAAACGTGAGCAAAGAAAAAAAAAAAAAAAAGCCCCCTGCCACCCTGGCGGGAGCCCCAGTTTGCAAAGGCTACGACCTCCATCCTTCTGGCCGGATGCTTCTCGCATCGGCCACCGCATCACAGGCACGGAGTGCTCCAGATTTCGTAATAAAGGGAGGGGGGTCTCATTTCGGGGGGGGTCTCTTCCAGGCTATCTTGGAGGGCCTGGGGGGTCTGGGGACGATGTTTTGGAGGGCTCTCCCACGGGGGAGGTCTGAAATGGCTTGTCTTGGAAGGTCCAGAACCCCTCCCTTTTATTACGAACTCTGGAGTACTATTTTCTGGATGCTCTTGCCTGAGTCGCGGGTCTCTTCGCTGCTGGGTCCTCTGCGTTCTGCCCAGACCCCCAACTTGCGGCCTCCTTCGGGGGCGGCGCAGGACGCCCTCCACAGGCTAAAGAGCGCTGAGATGACCCAGGGGGAGACGGGCGTGGGAATTTCCGTGAGTCCATCTTGACACATTATACCGGCGAAGGACCCAACCACAAGGCAATTGTGAGTACCACAAGGCAGTTGGGACGAAGGAGGAGGAGCTCTTCATGGGGCCACGTGACGTGTGAGGGTATGCCGACATGGGCGGGGGGGCGTACGTGGAGAAGGGTCCGGGGGGGCAACCCCCCCAAATCCCCCAAAAGCTCCCTGTGGACAGTTTTGGCAGGTCTGGGAGTGAAAAACCCCTGAACTTCCGCAAAACATGCAGGAGGGGTTGAGGGCAGCTCTGGAATAGAAACCCCCCTAAACCCCCAAGAACTCGCCTGGGTAAAATTTGCAAGGGATATCCGAGGAGGGAAACCTTTTAAACCTCCCAAAAACCCAGCGAGAAGGGTTTCTAGAAGGTCTGTGGGTGTAGGGGGATCCGAAAGGAAAAAAAACGAACGCCCCCCCTCCAAGGGGGTTCTGGTTTTTGTTCCAAGAAGTATTTGGGGAACTGCCACTCCGTACGGCCCGAGAGGGTCCCAAAATGGCCCCGAGGCTGCCCAAGAGGGCCGAGAACGGGCCCAAGAGCGCTCCGAGACGGCCGAAGATAGCCTCAAGACAGCCCAAGAGGATCCCGAGGCGGCCTGAGAGGGCCCCTGGGAGTATGCCTAGAGGGCCCTAAGAAGAAATACAACTGATGCCTACTACCCCCCCTTGCCACCGTGCCCCGAGGCAAGAGGTGGAGCGTCCTCAGGTCCCTCGGTTCCATTAAATTGAATATGGTAACACTCGTTGACGCGCCCACAACCCAAAGTTGTGGGCGCTCTTGGGCCTTCTCACTAAACACTTCCTGATGTCAGAGGGGCCCAAGACGGACCGAGAGGGCCCCAAGAAGCTCCCGAACGATCCACGAGGGCCCCGAGACAGACCAAGAGCGCTCCGAGACGGCCACGATTGCCTCAAGACGGCCTAAGAGGCACCCAAGAGGCGGAAGCGGAAGGGTGGGAGGATGAGGAGGAGGAAGAGGAGGAGGAGGAGGAGGGGGAGGAGGGAGGAGGAGGAGGAGGAGGAGGAGGAGGAGTGGGGGGGGGAGAAGGAGGAGGAAGAGGAGGAGGAGGAGGAGGAGGAGGAGGAGGAGGAGGAGCAGGAGGAGTGGGGGGGAGGAAGATGAGAGGAGGAGGAAGATGAGGAGGAGGAGGAGAGAGGAGGAGGAGGGGGAGGAGGGAGGAGGAGGAGGGGAGGAGGAGGAGGAGGAGGAGGAGGAGGAGGAGGAGGAGGCTCATCTTCCTCCTGCCGCGGCGGCGACGCCTGACGCCGTTCAAGGGTTGCCCGGGCTGCTCTCGTGGCGAATCTGCCGTGCCGCCTGGCCCATCCCTCTGCAAGGCAGGGGGAGGGGGAGAGAAAGAGGACGCGGGAGGGAGACGGGGGCGAGGTGGAAGAAGAAGGGGGGCAGCGAGGGATAGTGAGGTGGGAGGTGAGACGGGCATAGGACAAGAGAGGGGGGCGGGAGAAAAGAGGGGGAGCGAGGGAAGAGGAGCAAACTCAAGCTACATGCACTCGCGACGTATCTGACACCCTCCCCCATTCCTACCCATCCGTTTCCTCTGCGCTGAATTATGTTCTACTCGTGGGGTATGGCTCCATCGTGTGATGCGCAAGCAGACAACGAGGGGTACGGAGGAGGAGGCGGAAGAGCCAGGCGACGAGCAGGATGGAGGAGATGATGAGCAGAGAAGAGCAGTAGCAGCTGGAGCAAGAGGAGTAGGCGAAGCATGCAAAGAGGCCTGGACTTTGCTTGACCTGACTTGCCTTCCGTCGCAATACACGATCATTCTGGCTCACAGGCCCACTGGCGCGTGCTGCCGTATCGCAGGATGGACGAAGGCGTGCTCACATAATCGGCCGCATCACAGCTACACACATAGCGCATTGAGGCACAGATGCACGGCCATCAGCCCCATGGCCCGACGACCCTCACAAGCCGACGAACAGAGGGGGGCAGAACAGGGCGAGGGCAGCGCTGCGAACGAGTGGGACGGGCAAGAAGAATATCTCCAACAACACAGCACGTGGCCCTCCAGTGACCCTAGAAGGGACCCCCCCCCCGGATCGGCGGCCCCAGGCCCCAAGGGAAGCACGAGACCGTCCCCGGGGGGGGAGGAAGAGAGGATATATGGAACGCACAAGAACACCGAGAGAGAAATAGACACGGAGACAGAGAGAGAGAGAAGGAGAGAGAGAGAGAGATGGAGAGGGAGAGCGAGAGAGAGGAGAGAAGGGCGAAAAGAGAGAGAGAGAGAGCAAGAGAGAGAAAGAAAGAAAGAAAGAAAGAAAGAAAAAGAGAGAGGGATACATATATATGTATATATATAGATACAGATTAGGTTGGCCACTCCCCCCCCAAGCTCATACAAAGTATGTTGAATGGGATTCACGTTCATCATAATATTAATATTATTATTCATCCTTCCCTTCTCTTACTCCGCCCCCCCGCTTCTCCAAACACAATTCCTCCTCCTCCTCGCCCATCCTCCTCCTCCTCCTCGTTCTCCTTTCCGTTTCCTCCTAATAACACAACAATAATAACAACAACAACAACAACAACAACAACAACAACAACAACAACAACAACAACAACAACAACAACAACAACAACGACGACGACGACGACGACGACGACGACGACGACGACGACAACAACAACAACAACAACAACGACAGCAACAAGAATGCATAGTGTTTTGCGCCCTCGATGCAAGGAAACGCTGTGCATGCTTGGTTTTTTGTCCCAGATGCAAGGGAACACGGTGTATGTTCGGTTATTTGGGTTTGGGGGTTTGGGAAGCTCAAGTGCTCCCCGCGGCCTCCCCCCCAGCACCTCCTCCTTTCCTTTCCTCCTCCTTGTTGCAGAGCAAGAAAACCAAGCATACACAGTGTTTGGCGCCCTCGGTGCAAGGAAACGCTGTGCATGTTTGCTTGTTCTGGCTATGTTGGTTTAGGATGCAAGGAAACACTGTGTATGTTTGGTTTTTTGGACTCTGGAGCTCCGGAAGAGAAGGAGGTGCTGGGGGGAGGCCGCGGGGAGCACTTGCGCTTCCACAACCAAAAATTATCCCGGCAAAGCAACCTAACAGCGATGTGTAGGAGCATATCTGGAAGCACTCCCCTTAAGATTCAGATGAGAATCCAGTTGTAGATTTCTGCTGTTCTCGCAGTCGTAGTCGCATTCGCGATGACAGTCGCAGTGGCAACGGCAGTCGCAGTCACAGCCTCAGCCTCAGCCTGCCTCAGCCTCAGCCTCAGCCTGCCTCAGCCTCAGCCTCAGCCTCAGCCTCAGCCTCAGCCTGCCTCAGCCTCAGCCTGCTTCAGCCTCAGCCTCAGTCTGCCTTCAGCCTCGGCCTCAGCCTCAGCCTGCCTCAGCCTCAGCCTGCATCAGCCTCAGCCTCAGCCTCAGCCTGCCTCAGCATCAGCCTGCCTCAGCCTCAGCCTCAGCCTGCCTCAGCCTCAGCCTCAGCCTGCTTCAGCCTCAGCCTCAGTCTGCCTTCAGCCTCGGCCTCAGCCTCAGCCTGCCTCAGCCTCAGCCTGCCTCAGCCTCAGCCTCAGCCTCAGCCTGCCTCAGCATCAGCCTGCCTCAGCCTCAGCCTCAGCCTGCCTCAGCCTCAGCCTCAGCCTGCTTCAGCCTCAGCCTCAGTCTGCCTTCAGCCTCGGCTCAGCCTCAGCCTGCCTCAGCCTCAGCCTGCATCAGCCTCAGCCTCAGCCTCAGCCTGCCTCAGCATCAGCCTGCCTCAGCCTCAGCCTCAGCCTGCCTCAGCCTCAGCCTCAGCCTGCTTCAGCCTCAGCCTCAGTCTGCCTTCAGCCTCGGCCTCAGCCTCAGCCTGCCTCAGCCTCAGCCTGCAGCCTCAGCCTCAGCCTCAGCCTCAGCCTCAGCCTGCCTCAGCCTGCCTCAGCCTCAGCCTGCTTCAGCCAGCTCAGTCTGCCTTCAGCCTCAGCCTCAGCCTCAGCCTCAGCCTGCATCAGCCTCAGCCTCAGCCTCAGCCTCAGCCTGCCTCAGCCTCAGCTCATGCCTCAGCCTCAGCCTCAGCCTGCCTCAGCCTGCCTCAGCCTCAGCCTGCCTCAGCCTCAGCCTCAGCCTGCTTCAGCCTCAGCCTCAGTCTGCCTTCAGCCTCGGCCTCAGCCTCAGCCTGCCTCAGCCTCAGCCTGCATCAGCCTCAGCCTCAGCCTCAGCCTCAGCCTCAGCCTGCCTCAGCATCAGCCTGCCTCAGCCTCAGCCTCAGCCTGCCTCAGCCTCAGCCTGCTTCAGCCTCAGCCTCAGTCTGCCTTCAGCCTCGGCCTCAGCCTCAGCCTGCCTCAGCCTCAGCCTGCATCAGCCTCAGCCTCAGCCTCAGCCTGCCTCAGCATCAGCCTGCCTCAGCCTCAGCCTCAGCCTGCCTCAGCCTCAGCCTCAGCCTGCTTCAGCCTCAGCCTCAGTCTGCCTTCAGCCTCGGCCTCAGCCTCAGCCTGCCTCAGCCTCAGCCTGCATCAGCCTCAGCCTCAGCCTCAGCCTGCCTCAGCATCAGCCTGCCTCAGCCTCAGCCTCAGCCTGCCTCAGCCTCAGCCTCAGCCTGCTTCAGCCTCAGCCTCAGTCTGCCTTCAGCCTCGGCCTCAGCCTCAGCCTCAGCCTCCAAAATGTAGCGCGGGAATGGAGTTCTGGGAACTCGAAGACCACGAAGTGGCTTACAGTTGGCTCCGGGCATTCAAAATCATGCCCAAGAACGGAGTTCTGGGAACTCGAAGACCTCGAAGTGGCCTACAGTTGGCTCCGGGCATATAAAATCATGCCCAGGAATGGAATTCTGGGAACTCGAAGAACACGAAGTGGCCTACAGTTGGTTCCGGGCATTCAAAATCATGCCCAGGAATGGAGTTCTGGGAACTCGAAGACCACGAAGTGCGTTACTGCTTGCTAAAAAATGATTCCCCGGCACCCTCCCCCGGATCCCGCCCAGACCCCCCTGGGGAGTCATGATGCTCTCTTTTGACCCTACTAGAAACCTATCAGTCTTCGCTGTTAGGTAATATACACCATGGTTCCTTGCATCCTATACCAAAAAAACAAAACAATAAAAAAACGCTTCCTTGCATCGAGGGCGCCCAACACTGTGTATGCTTGGTTTTCTTGCTCTGCAACAAGGAGGAGGAGAGGAAAGGAGGAGGTGCTGGGGGGGAGGCCGCGGGGAGCACTTGAGCTTCCAGAACCAAAAAAACAAATCAACCGAAAATACACCATGCTTTCTTACATCCTAGACCATATATATATATATGACACGAACATACACAGCGTTTCCTTGCATCGAGGGCGCCAAGCACTGTGTATGTTAGGTTTTCGTGCTTTGCAACAAGGAGGAGGAAAGGAAAGGAGGTGCTGGGGGGGAGGCCGCGGGGAGCACTTGAGCTTCCAAAACAGAAAAAATGTTCCCTTGCATCCTAGACCAAAAAACAGAAAATCCAAACATACACAGCGTTTCCTTGCATCGAGGGCGCCAAACACTATGTATTCTTGTTGTTGTGTTACTACAAAGAGGAGGAAACGGAAAGGAGAATGAGGAGGACGAGGAGGAGGAGGAGGAGGATGGGCGAGGAGGAGAAAGAGGAGCTGTGTTTGGAGAAGGGGAGGACGGAAGAAGAGAAGGGAAGGATGAATCAGAAGATGATGAACGTGAATACGACTCAAGATAAAATGTTTGATCTTTGGGGGGGTCAACGGTTAAAAGAGAGAGAGAGAGAGGGAGAGGGAGAGAGAGAGAGAGAGAGAGAGAGCGGGCGCTGCCGCGTGGGCCTTCAGTGAGACTCCCCATTGGGCCACGAAACGCGTGAGGAGTGTGCCACAATGAGGCAGCGAGGCCCTGCGGGCGCTGCCACTGGGGCGATGGAGCTCCCCATTGGACTACGAGACGTGCGACTGGTGTGCCAGAATTGGGCGGCGCCGCCATGCGGACGCTGCCTCTTGGGCCTTTGGTGGAGCTCCCTATGGGGCTACGATACGCGTGAGGGGTGTGCCAAACTGGGCGGCGCCACCATGCGGGCGCTTCCATTTGAGCCGTCGGTGAAGCTCCCTATGGGGCCACGAAACGTGTGAGGGGTGTACCCAAATGTGAACGCACAGGGCAGAGGCACAGAGGGGAGAAGGAGGAGGGAGGAGAAGGCAGCGGGAGGAGTGGACGCGGGATGCTGCCTTTTAAAAACGAAGACCCATCACCACAGGATGGTTGGCAAAATTAGGGGGATCTGATCTCGAGAAAGACGCGGTCCCACAAACCAGCGCCGAAACGGCTGATCGAAAACACCCCCTGCTTGTGCACTCGAAGCCAGTTCTGGACTGGCACGCAAGGCCAAAGACGAGAAGGATGCCATCGCATCGGGAACACGTGGAACCTGCCAACGTGGAACCTGCCAATCCCGTCGTAACCTTGCAAACGCCATGAGGATCCACCTGCTCCCCCTCCTGCTTCCCGCCCTCCGACGACGACGACGACGACGACGAGCGACGGGCGACGGGCGACGAGCGGGGCGGTGCCCCTCATCCGGAAGCTCATCTTTGGCGGAGAGGCCATGGTGCAGTGCGGATGGGGGGGGGCTGTGGAGCAGGACTGAACCTAAACGGTGTTGTTCGTTTTCGTCTTGTTTTCGTGTTCCATCGTTTTGTCTTCAATCCGCCTTTGACGCCAAACGAAATCGGAACGAAAACGGCCCACGAAATCGCCAAAACACCGTTTGGGTCCACCCCCGCCGTGGAGCAGGCGTGCACGAGCGCGCTGAGCTCCCTGCGGGGCCGCGACCCGCGTCAGGGGTGCGCCGAGACGGGCGGCGGCCCACGCGCGAGCGCGCCTGCTGGGGCCGCAAGCGGACCTCCCTGTGGGCACGATCCGCGGAAGGGGGCATGCCGAACTGGGCGGAGGCGCGCACGTCAAAGGGCCCACTGGGGCCGTACAGTCGGACTTCATGGGACGGGACACGCGAGAGGACAAAAGACCCTTCCGAGGGCCACACTGCCGCAGGAATGCAGGAGGCACGGGTCGCGAGGCACAGGACACAGAGGTACCCTTGGTTTGACAGGGTCGACCTACTGATCCGGGCCGACTGTCAGTCGACCTCCCTCTTGGGTCAGGATCTGCGGAGGGGGTGTGACGACATGGGCGGCGGCCCGCGCGCGAAAGCCCCCACCGGGATCGCAGGTGGAGCTCACAATGGGGACACGATTTGCCAGCAGGGTGCCTCGAACTCAGCACGAGCCCGGATGCGTCTGCGGCCATTGAGACCATTGGAGGAGCTCCCTATGGTGTGGCGCCACGGAGCGTGTGAAGAGTGCGCCGGAAAGTACAAGCAGGAGAGGAAGGCACAGGCAAGGAGAGGAGGAGGAAGGTAGGTGGAGCGCGGCTGGGGAGTCAAAGGAAGGGCCCAACAGCGCAGGATGACTGGTAACAACACAAAGTGCATGATGCTTCAATTCCAAATTCTGGATCATGAGCGGGTACACCGCGCTCAGTGTGCACGCGCTTTCGACAGGGATGGTGGGCGGGCATGATTGTCCGCGGCTCGCTGGCCCTCTCGACACACAAACACCACACACCGTGCTGGCCGCCCCGCCACGTCGCAGAAGTTCTGCCGGGGGGGTGGAAAGGGGGGCGACGGATTGCCCGACGTGCGATGCCGCGTGAACCAGCGCACTTGGCACTCTGCGCGCGTCGCGCAAAGGGCGCGGCTGGAGCACGTGGTGCACACCTGGCGCACCTGGAACGCCCGGCAATTCTTCGGCACCAGGCGGTCATGACCGCACGGCGCACCTGGCACAGGAAGTTAAGAAGCCGCCCACGAGAACGGATTCCCTCAAAAACTTTGAGAGGCCTGAGTGGGTTTGGTGTCATCGACTTGCCTCTTCGGACGGGCTTCTGGGATGTCAAGGTGGCCCCAAGATAGTCCAGCGTATTCAACGTAAAGGCTCAAAGGGGGCCCAAGAAGATCCTGAAGGCTTCCAAAAAATCCCCAACAGCGTCCGAACAGGGCCCTGAAAGACTAGTTCCTGACCTCCAACAACGCGGTGATCCTATCAGCCCATTGGGCAAAGGTGGTCTAACAAGTTCGTCCTCCTCCTCCTCCTCCTCCTCTCCTCCTCTCCTCCTCCTCCTCCCTCCTCCCTCCCCTCCTCCCCCTCCGCCTCCCCTCCTCTCCTCCTCCTCCTCCTCCTCCTCCTCCTCCTCTCCTCCTCTCCTCCTCCTCCTCCTCCTCGTCCTCCTCTCCTCTCCTCCTCTTCTCCTTCTCCTCCCTCCCTCCTCCTCCTCCTTCTCCTCCCTCCAACTCCCTCCTCCTCGTCCTCCTCCTCCTCTTCTCCTCCTCCTCCTCCTCTTCCCTCCTCCTCCCTCCCCTCCTCCTCCTCCTCCTCCTTCCTTCTCCTCCTCCCTCCTCCCTCCTCTCCTCCTCCTCCTCTCCGACTCCACCACCACCACCTCCACCACCACCACCACCCCACCATCCTCCCCTCCTCCTCCGCCTCCTCCTCATCCTCCTCCTCCTTCTTCGTCTCCTCCTCCTCCCCTCCTCCTCCTCCTCCTCCTTCTCCCTCCTCCTCCTCCTCCTCCTCCTCCTCCTCCTCCTCCTCCCGTGTACTCATCTTTCTCCTCCACACCTGTCTTCTTCTCGAGCACCAGGGTCACACGCTCTAGGACAGAGGTGGGTGGAGCATGCCCGATGCCACTTGCGCCACGACATGCCCGAAGACAGTCCACATGAGTTATAAAAACCGTGCCCTGTTCGAACACCATTGGTCATCTTCGTGCTCCCCTCTCCTCATCAGTCAAGTAGGTCCCAGGATGGCTCCATGAGGCAACAGCACCTCCGAAGGATTCCCCATTGAGAAAAAGATTGCCTAAAACGTGAGGATGCCGATGATGTTGAGCTTCTCGCCTTTGCGATTGCAACGGCACCCGCCCAAGAGAGTGCAAAGAGGAGCTCGGCAGGGCTCCAAGACGCCATCCAAGGCCCCCAAAAGCCCTCCAAGACAGCCCAAACAGGACCCCGATAAACGATTGTTCGGGCTCTGACGGGGGAATGATTTAGGACCCTCACCCTCCTTTGATCGACGGCATCCTGGATCGGCCCTGGAGGGCCCCTGAGACCCCAAAGGGTCCCAAGACAGCCCCAAGAGAGTCCCAAGAGAGCCCTGACGGCCTCCAAAAATGTCCAAGCCCTGAGATGGCCCCGAGAAGCGGAGGCCCTTGTGGTTGCCTCATAGCCGACGCCTGGTTTCTTCACGCCCCTCCGCTGTCACTCGGCGGCGAGCGAGGGGGGGAAGTGAGAAGGGGCGGGCCTTCTCAGAAGGCTCGGAAGTCTCCCGGCCTTCTGAGAAGATTTCTGGGCCTTCACCGAAGACACCGAAACTTCCCGAGAGTGCGCGAGGGCTTCTGAGAAGTCCCGCCGCCTTCTGAGAAGGCCTTCTCCTTCTCACTTCCCCCCCGGCGCGCCACCGAATTGGGTTTTTGGGTCATAACTCGGGTCTCCGGCGACCGTTCGGGACGATCCCGGCACCCCCGGAACGCTCTCGGCGAGGCGCAGCCGCTGGAACGCATCCCGAGGGCGGAAGCCCGTCAAGAAACTACGAAAGCGCCCGAAAACTTCCCCGCCCTCGCTCGCCGCCGAGTCACGCAAAAACTCGGGAGTCCACCTCGGGGGCGAGCAGAACCCTCGTCCGCAGAGCACCCCTTCGCAAAAAAAAAAGAACGGCCCGGGGAGAGCAGGCCCGGCGGGCGCAGGCCTGCAAAAAAGCCTTGCGGGCGCGGCAGGCCTCTGCGGAGGGCCGAGCAGAGAGGGCAGCTCACTGGTCGACGTGGCAGGGTGGGGGTCCTATCGACCTCCGGCAACAGTTGAAGGAGCCCTGGGACACAGAAATAGAGAGAGACACTAATGACAGGGTTCTCCCCGGTTCCCGATATGTTCTGGGTTTCTGTCTTCCCCCCCCCACTGCTGAACAGTGCCCATTCGGTCGGAGGAAGCAAGCAGAAGCATGAAGCAGGAAGGCGTTGAGAATAGATTGGGTGTCCGCCCGCCCCTCAAAGAGAACGGAACAGGCGAAGCCACTCGATCATTGAAGTCGGAAGGCGCCTGAAGTAGATTGGAACCTGGGAATCCCAAAAGACCGACTTTCAACGACCAATGGGTAAGGGCCGTCACAAGGCCCCCACGGGAGCCCCATGAACGGGAAGTGTGCAGGTGGCACAACATGCTGTCATGATTATGTGTGTCGCTGTCTGTGTGTTCCTACACTTCCATGGTCAGGGCAACTCGCAGAGAAATCGTTGCTGGATGGGCTGGCGAGTATACGAGATGTATGAAGAACTGCCCCGAACTGCTGTCACTAGCAGCTCGCATTGGGTGTGTTACAGCACGTTTCATTGCACGTACGTACCAGATGTCTAGCCCAAGCGCCGACATGTTTACACACTCGTTCGTTGCATCCCTCACCCTGATGTAGACTCAGATGTTCGCGCCATGTGGTGGCACTTTCGCGCACCGACTTTCTGAAAGGTTGGCGCTTGCCTCGAAACGCGTGCTGCAGGGTCGCATGGCACCTTCATGTGCCTGCTTCACTCGCAACCCGCGCAATTCTGCACCAGCTGTGCTTGTGGGTGGCGCGGCTGAGGCGCACTGCAGCCTCACATTGCACTGCAGGAGGTGGCTACCTGTGCGACTGCGAGGGGGTGCAGTGCTCAGAGAGAGGCGCGCTTCCATGGGCACAGCCGACGCGCTGCCAGAAGGAGCGCATGACAAGGAACGAGGGGGCTTACCATGGCCACGGCGGGCCTACGCCACAAACAGGTTCCCCCTGCTCCTCCTCCTCCTCCTCCTCCTCCTCCTCCTCCTCCAACTCCTTCTCATCCTCCTCCTCCTCCTCCTCCTCCTCCTACTCCTCCTCCTCCTCTTCCTCCTCCCTCTCCTGCCACTGGTAGCGGTTGTGGAAAATGGGCCCATCAAGAAACGCCACAAACAGGTTCCACCCCCAGAAATCGAAGGAGCGGCCCCAAGACCCGAGCCACTCCCGAGCCCAAAGCGGTCCGCGTGCAGCGCCTCGGCTGCAGCGCCTGCGCCCCAAAATCCTTTTGGAATTCCTCTGGCAGGGGTTGGATGGTCCGCTTTTCCGTCCGTCGGAACGGCAGAGTGATCGCAAAGGTGGACCGGCCTGTCGGCATTGCGCAGGACAGGGGCTCTGATCGATGGCAAATCGGCGTTCGACGGGCCTCCCTCATGCAACCTCTTCGTCATGCTGATCCCCCCGTCCAGCGCACTGCCCCCAAGGCCTCGGCATCTTGGCCTCCGCCAGGTGGTTCCCATCCTCGGCGTCGGAAGCGCTCCGCCCGCCTCGGCGGCGAGAGCAAGGGCTCGGAGAGGGAACGCTATCTTTGACTCTTCGGCCGAGGTTGCTGGCCTTGCTTGTTGACATGCACCGCTGCTTGGCGCAACCGCCAGTCTGCACAGAGTCAGGCGGGAGCGCGAGGAGCTCCCACTCCAGAGTCGCGCAAGCACGAAGGCCTGGAGCAGCGAGCGGGCAACAGTCGGCGGCGACGCCACACGCTGCCCGCCGCCCTGCGCTGGAGTCTGTCTCTGCGTGGGGAGCGTCGGGAGCAGGAGCAGGAGGAGCCCCCCCTGGCGGGTCGCGCCACGAAAGGGAGGGGTGGGGCGGGGCGGTGGCCTGGAGGTGCCCGGGGGCCCACAGCAACCCCGGGGAGGCCTCCGACGCCCTCAGGGCCTTCGGAAATCTTGACCCTGCTCGATCTCCTTCGAAGAGCAAGCTGAGACAGAGGAAGATGGTGAGCAGGAAGCTGAGGAGGGAGAACGGGGGAGGCGGGACGAGGAGGACGGAGAGGACGAGGAGACGCCCGAGCACACCGAGCGCCACCGACGCCCCTCCCCCTCCCGCCTCGCCCGGAGCTGCCTCACGGGCAGAGCTGCGAGACGGACCCCCTCGCGCGCCAGGCCCCAGTGACCGCCCGCTCCGAGAGCCTGGCGGAGACAGGCTCGTAAGGCCGGGGAGGCTGGAGGCGGCCCGAAGCAGCAGCAGCGGCGACGGCGGAGGCGAGAGGAGGTAGGAGGAGACGGAGGAGGAGGAGGAGGAGGAGGAGGAGGAGGAGGAGGAGGAGGAGGAGGAGGAGGAGGAGGAGGAGGAGGAGGAGGAGAAGGAGGAATAGGAGGAGGAGGAGGAGGAGGAGGAGGCGAGGGAGGAGGAGAAGGAGGAGGAAAAGGAAGAGGAGGAGGAGGAAAGCAGAGGAGGACCGCAAGAAGCGTGAAGCGCAGCAGGCGCCGATCTCATCTACATGCTGATGGCAGCTTGAGTTGCGGGCAGCAAGTGGATGTACGCTGCGGAGGATGGGGAGGAGGCTTTAGCTTGCGGCACAAGAGGACTGGTGGAGCTCAACGCCCCGTCCGCCGCAGTAAACGCGCACGGAGCGGCAGGGCGAGGAGAAGGCAGCACGAGGAGGCAGCAGAACGTAGGAGGCGGCGGCACGAGGCGAGAGGAGTAGGAGAAGGAGGAGGAGGAGGAGGAGGAGGAGGCGGAGGTGGAGGAGGCGAGAAGAGGAACTATTCGGAACGATTTGGCGAAGCAAGGGAGGCGTGCTGAACATTTGACCAAACCCAGGCCACGGCTTAGCCTGAAGCTGGGCAGGCACTCCTCCACGACTTGGGTAAAGCCCCTTCTCGATGCAGGCAGTACTCTTTCTATCCTTCCTGGTCATCGCTTCGCAACGCGACTCAGGGTAACGGCCATCCAGAGTCGCATACTTACCACAGACCGTGCAAAACGTCAAGAGAAAACGCTCGACATACTGCAACCTGTGGGAAGGTGCACGTGTTTGCCAGCCACCACAAGAGCCGTACCCCCGACTCCAATCGACTGACAGGGGCGGACACCAGAGCACTCGCTCTGGGCCGACACTGGGATTCTCGAAGCAGGGTCTACGAGATCGCACAAGGCGCAACGAAACTCACGACCACTCTGGGAGAAGTCATGCGAGGAGCGCGGGGGAGCTCGGGCTCCGGCGGCGGGCGGAGGGCGGAGGTTGCCTGTCCTTGGCCTCCCGCTCGCCCGTCCGCGGGTCCCCGGCCGCCGCAAGCTCCATGGCGCCGCCGTGCGCGCGCACGGATGGGGACTCCCGTGGGGTCCCACCGATCAGTCTCCACCGCACCGACACGGCAAGACGACCCACCCGCAGCCTCCACCGCTCCCTCATCCGCCAAGGGCACTGCCTCGAATCAGAGAGGGGAATCGATGTCGGAAGCCTCGCACTCGGCGCGAGAGGGGGGATCCACTTGAGCAGCACATTGCCAGGCGTGCGCGAACCCAACGCGACCCGAATTCTGCTCTAGAGGTCCCGGTTGAAGCCTGCAGGGCAGACACACGACCCGCAAGCCAGGCACGCAGCAAAGGTTGGTGGTCCGTTATCAAAACGTAATCCTCTGAACAGCACTTCAGAGCCAGGGCGAATGCCGTCAGCTCGGCCGTGGGTACAGTTTGCCTACGTCCAGCTAACTTGGCTCGCACCCCCGCGTTCAGAACCCGCTCTCCCTGATCGTTCTTATGAAGCGCAACTACAGCTGTGCCACACCTCCTGCGTCGCGGATCGGAGCTGTGGGGACCTCCCGAGCCATCTCCGGACAGCACGATCCTAGAAAACTGAGGGTGAGGCTCGAATGCCTGGAGCGACAAAAGACCATACTCTACCACTTCCTCATCAGGGAAGCGAGTGTCCAACGGGGGGTGGGTCCAACTCACGGGGGGGATACCACGCAACCAAAAACAGGGTGTCTGCTCACGCTGAGTGGCAAGCTGTCCCACCAAACTGTTAGACCTATCAAACTCTGGCCCTGCATTGTAACTGCAGGCAAAACTACGGTGATACAACGATTCTTCTTCCTGAAGACATCTGGGGCAGAGGCGAGAGACCAAGTAACCGCTGTCAGCCATCCTGACCCGCGGCCACTGGCTCCAAGCCACCATCGCGATCAGAAAACCGACTTGCTCAAACTCATAGTATTTCTCTAACTTGTGGCACTCACGGCGAGCAACGAGCATGTCCCCACCATCCGACTCCAGACCACCCCCCTCAAAGTGCTCTGAAGCCTGGTGCCAAAGTTTAGCACTGATATCGTCGAGTAGATCGTCAAGCAACTCGGTAAAATCAGCATCGTGAGCTTCGAAACCTGGATCACTAGCCTACGGGAGCTTCCACACATAGTCGCCGGCAGACGTGTGACGCGTCCAGGCGTGAGCATGAGTGGGGGTCCATCCTGCATCGAACAAGACTGCGATCACGGCGCTGGCGGGTCCCTGGTTCTCGGAGCGTGCAGCCTGGGGCGGAGAAACGACCACGCGCGAACAACCCCAGGGGGCAGGGATGGGGGAGGCGGGAGGCGGGAGGAGGCGGGAGGAGGAGGAGGAGGAGGAGGAGGAGGAGGAGGAGGAGGAGGGAGGGAGGAGGAGGAGGAGGAGGAGGCAAGAGGAGGCAGGAGGGGCGGCACGGAGTGGGCGGAGGCAGCGCGCCGCCGCGGCCTCCGCCGCCACGGCCGCGGCCCTCCGCAAGCGCGAGCGGGCGCCCGCCGGAGCGGCTGCGGCTGCGGCTGCCGCTCGGGCGTCGCGGGCGCCTCCGGCGGGGGCGGAGGGGGGTGCGAGGCGAGGCGAGCGCGCGGTCCTAAAACGACGCGAAGATCGGGGGAAAATCGGATCGGGATAACTCGAAATCTCTGAGAATCGGCGGGTTTGGAGGATGTATTGGGCGCCGCGGCCGCTCCAGAGCGTTCCGGAACGCTCTGAGAGCGCTCCGGAACGCTCTGGAGCGATTTATCCCGATTCTAGCCCTGTTTTAGGTCCCGCTGGGGCGGGGCCCACGCGACCGACGAGAAGGAGCTGATCTCACGCAAGATGGCACAGCGAGGTCACGCCGCGGCTTGCGCCGGGGCGCCAGCGGGGCGCGCCACACTGGAAGCGAGCTTGCGCGGAGGGTTTGCCCGCCAATGTCAGCGCAGTCGACCCATATTTTCTTACGTCGTTCATGCGGGTCTGCGCGGGGTGGCTGGAGGCCTCACAGGCCTCGGAAAAAAACAGCGAACACTCATGCCAGATTCATCTGTGAACGCCTCCCCCTCCCCCCAATGTTCAAAATTTGCGGTGGGTCTGATGAGTTGCACCTCGACCGCAGTCTCCCCCGCGTGTGCCAACCTGGAGTTTGGGGGGCAGGGGGGGTGTTCACTAATTGTTTCCCTCTACCGTAGTTCTCGGTGTGTGTGTACTCTGGTGGTCCACGGCAAACTGTATGAACTTGTAGTATGACCCCTGTCATGCGCAAGAATCGCGTGCCTGCTGGGGTTTACGGGGGGAGGGGGGGGCGGACCCGCTTTCCGTCGTGACGTCGTCGCCGCCGCCATCGTCGCCGTTTGTGCCGTCACTACGAATCCCAACAAGGAACACACACACACACACACACGCACACATCTTGTCTTCTGGCCGGCTGGTCCAACTCAGCGACGGCGTTATCCGGACGCGCCAAGCGGATTACACGCGGCTGCACGTGCAGAAAAGAAGAAGTGCACGACGGTCAGGCACGTGCAGCGCCGACACACACACACACACACACACACACACACACACACACGCGCACACGCTCGTGGCCATGTTGGCACAAGCCATCTGGCCCGAGGCCCTCCTTGGCACAAGTGACGTTTTGCGGTATCATAACGCATACTCTTTGCGCACCTGCCTCACTCCTGTCCTCACGTTGCACTCGCAGCGCTCTTGTTACCGCAAGCATGTGGCGCGGAGGCCAGACCCGGGCCCCCCCCTGGCGCGCAGCTGCGTGCGCCGGGCGGTCGTTGGGCCAACGGTCCATCGACATCGACATGGCCGCGCCCGGGCCAGGGCGGTGCCAACCGCCGGTCAGTCGCCGCCGCGGCGGCGGAGGTGGCGGAGGCGGCGGAGATCAGCCCCGCGGCCACGCCCTCACCGATGACGAGCTGCAAGGCTAGGTCGCCATGGATAACACACCACCTCGGCGCTCGTCGAAGGCCCGCTCTTCCGCAGCTCCTGGGGCATGGTCGAGCACCTCCGCCGCGCGGAGCCGCCGGACTGCAGCTGGTCGCCGTCGACGTGGCCGCCTCCATGCTCGTAGACAAGCTCGCCAAGAAGGTGTTCGACGCCGAGGCGCAGCTTGGCCGCGACACGGCGGCGACCGCCAAGGCCGTACAACAGTTCGGCGACACCCAGGCCTTACTCCAGAAGGTGGGAGGCGAGCAGACGAAAGCCCGCAAGCAGGCCGCCGTCGTCTTCTCGCCCCCCAAGCCCTGGATCGCACGCAGCTACCTGCAGGATCAGTCGGAACTCAAGGCCGACCCTTTCACGGTCAACAGGTCTGCCGAGCAGATCTTCGCGTGCGTCACCTCCGAAGTCGCCGCCTTCTGCAAGACTGCCCAGGCCGCGCTCGCGACAGCAGCCGCCCCCGCAGGAGGCAAAGATGCAGCGGCCAGGGCCGCTGGAGCACCAGCGGCCCCAGCGGCACAGCCACCTGTCCAGGCCCCTCCCGCTGCCGCCCAGCCCGACCCCTTCGATGCTTAAAACAAATATTATATATATACATGCATTTACATGAGTGAATGTTATATTAAATAATAAGATTACTTATGATACGTATCATAATTATTATCACAGTGCGATCATACCTAGGAGTTGGAACCCCTAGGAGCGCAGCATAAACTAAGCTAGGTTAAGATTAGCTAAGCTACGATAAGCTGAGATAAGCTAAGATAAGCTAAGAGAAGCTAAGATAAGCAAAGATGAGATAAGTTAAGCTAAACTAAGCTTAGCTAGGCTAAGCTAAGCTAAACTCAGCAAAGCGAAGCTGAGCTAAGCTAAGCTAAGATGAGATCAGCTAAGCTAAGCTGGGCTAAGATAAAATCAGCTACGCTGAGCTAAGCTAAGCAAAGCTGAGATCAGCTAGGCTAAGCTGAGCTAAGATGAGATCGGCGAAGCTGAGCTAAGCTAAGCAAAGCTAAGATAAAAACAGATAATTTAAGCTCAGCTAAGCTAAGCTAAGCTAAGCTAAGCTAAGGTAAGATAGGCGAAGTGAAGCTAAGCTAGGCTAAGTTAAGCTGAACTAAGATAAGCTAAATTAGGATGGGATAAGCAAAGTTAAGCTAAGATCAGCTGGGCTAAGCTAAGCTAAGGTAAACTAAGGTAAGGTAAGGTAAACTAAGCTAAGCTGAGCTAAGCTAAGATGAGATAAGATAAGCTAAGCTAAGCTAGGTTAAGCTAGGCTAGGCTAAGCTAGGCTACGCTAAGCTAGGGTAGGCTAAGCTAAGCTAAGCTAAGCTAACCCTCTAGGCAGAGCCTCGGTAGGGAACCCCCGTTGCCGGGGGAACCGCGGGGCGGATCCTGGGGGAACCGCCCGGTGCGTTTTGCATTGCCCGGCCCTTTAAGCAAACACAGTAAGAACCCTTTCTAGGCAGAGCCTAGGTAGGGAATAAAGATAGTAACAATACTCCTAATAATCATAATAAGAAAACGAATACTAATAAAAATTATAATGATAAGAATGGTAATACTAATAATGATGATATTATGATACGGATAATGGTAACATCAACAACAGTGGTAATAATAATAATAGTGATCGTCGTAGTAGTGATGATTATGATACAAAATAACGACGAATTAGATAATTGAATGAATAAAAAACAAATACATGAATACATACGTTTTAACCCATCATAATGAAATGAAATGAAAATACGAATAATAAGTATGAGCTTTTGGCGCTCCGCGCGGAGTTTTTGGATCTGCGCTGGACCCCCCTCCCTCGCGCGCGGAGCGCGCCAGGGGCGGCGCCAGAGGCGCCGTCGGGGGGGGGGCCCAGCGCCGATCCAAGAAACCCGCACGGAGCGCCAAAAATTTATGTTCATTGCGTTTTCTCTTCTTCGAGCCCAGCCCGACCCCTTGGACGCCTGCATGGCTTAGGATGATCCCCGTGATCTTTTGGCTGCTTGCTGCGAGGCGGGGATTCATACACATCCACCGCCTGGGAAAAGGCGTCCTGGTGCCCCAGCGGGCGGCGGGCATGGATCTATTTTGGCCCCGGTGGGCTCGAAGATGTCAACATCCACCGCCTGCCAAGGTCCGCCAGCGCCAAACGGGCAGTTCTTGCGGCGGCAACCGCGTTGCCAGGGTGTCCCGCTGCAGGGGTCGTTCGGCCGTCCACGCCAGGGCGCCCGGCCCCCTCCAGGCGGTGGCCATATGAAGGGGCCCTGGGACACACAAATAAATACACAGATAACAGGATTCCCTATATTTCCCCATATTTGTCCCTACCTGAGCTCTGCCTAGAAGGGTTACTGTGTTTGCTTAAAGGGCCGGGCAATGCGAATCGCCCTGGACGGTTCCCCCGGCATCCGCCCCGCGGTTCCCCCAGCTACGTCCCCTTAGCTTAGCGTTGCCTATCTCATCTTAGCTTGGCTTATTTCATACTAGATTAGCTTAGTTTCATCTTAGCTCAGGTTTATCTTAGCTTAGCTTACCTTCATCTTAGCTTCGCTGAGCTTTAGCATAGCAGAGCACAGCATAGCATAGCATAGCGTAGCATAGCATAGCGCAGCACAGCATATCATGGCATAGCCCAGCATAGCATAGCATAGCGCAGCATAGCATAGCATAGCAGAGCAGAGCAGAGCGCAGCACCGTCCATCGACGGTGTGGAGTTTTTCGCCGTCCTCATCGCCTTCCGTTTCTCCAGCACGCCCATCGCGATGTGCACTGACGCCAGTTGCGTGGTCGACGGGCTGCTGACGCGAGGCAGGGTGGCTACCACACAGGCCGAATCCGCCTGGGCCCACCTGTGGGCCGAGGCATGGCGCGCGCTGGACGATTTCGGCGGCCTCGGACGAGCAGCCTAAACGTCAACAAAGGCAGGGGCACGCGACGCTGGCAGACGTTGTCAACCCCAGTGCCACGGCGCGGCGGCGGCGCAGAAAGGTCGAGGCCGATTGTTGGGCCAAGCGCGTTGGCCGCCCTTGGGCCCCTCCTGAATCTGATCGTCTTCGCCACCTTCGTGCCGCCCTGACTGTTGATAGAGTCGCCCGCTGGGTTTCGCGGGCTGGTGCGTTGGCTGCCGCGGCAAGAGTCGATTCCGTGCATGGCTCTAGGCGCCCTGCGGTCATGCCACCGAGCATCCGCTCGAGCCCTGCGCGGACGGTAGCACATGGTGCCCGCGGCGCTCGAGGTCGGCGCGCATCCACGAAGGCTAAGCGAGCTCCGTTCTCTTGCAATTGCGCGCCCAGGCTCGAAGTCTCTGGTGCGAGGCAACGATCTGCAGCTGCCTCCTCTGCAGCTGCTGCCGCAGCACTCGCCGCCGCCGCCGCTCTTCTTGCCATCGACGGCAAACCGCAGCCCACGTACACCACAAGCGGGGAGGCGAATCCCGCGAGGGGGGGACACCCGACGAGTTAGATCCGAGTCGCCGGAGACAGGCACAGGCGCAACAGGCCGAGAGGCCAAAAGGGCGGCGGCGGGGGCCGTGGCGAGGGCCGCTGCGGCATCAGCGGACCGCTCGAGGCTCGGAAGATCCCCCGCCGACTGGCGAGCCAGACTCGAAGCCTCCGGT